TCAATAAACATGAAGTAGGCCTGCACTCAGGAGCCTGAGGCAAAATTGTCATGAGTTCAAGGCCAGCCTGGGCTACATAGTGAGTTCAAGGCCAGGCTGAACTACATAGCAGGACCCTGTCTCAAAAGAAAAAAAAAAAAATAGAATAATCAAAGTTAAAAGCAAAGAGTGGGAGAAAACAATGTTACATCTAATATCTAGAATATACATAAGTCTGAAAATAATTTTCCCACAATCCAGAAGTCCCCACCTGTGCCACGGTGCCTTCCCCACAGTTGGCACCAGAGGCTTCCTGGGCACAGCAGGCTGGTGCACCACACAAGTGCTCTTCTCTTTGGCTTCCTTCTTTTTCTAATTGTTTTCTCTGTCTTCCTCCCTCTTTTCCCTTTGGGGATTATTTTCCTTCACACATTTTGGGAAGCTATCAGGGCTCCTAGTGTGTGTGACGTGACTGTGGGACCAGTGTGAACACTGGTTCTGTTGGCAAGAATCGGCCAGGACTTGTTTGTTTGTAAGATCAATAGCAAGCTGGGTGACGTCAGCACCAGAAGTGGATGTAGCAGGACCCCAACCTCACTCTCCAACCCTCAGTTCTCTGGGGCCTTTGATGAAAGAATGTAGTCAAGGCACATAGGCTAGCCCAGGCGTGGTGACACAGGCTGTAATCCCAGCACCCTGGGAGGCTGAGGTAGGAGGATCACAAGTTTAAACCCAGACTGTGCCATTTAGCAATTTAGTTAGACCTGTCTCAAAAAAATAAAAAGAAGAGCTGGTGATGTAGCTCGGTGTGAAGGTCCTAGGTTCAATTCCTGGTATGAAAAGAGAGACACACAGGTCTACACAGACAGGCAGACAGAAGTTACTGGTGAGCAGGTAGGGGAGTGACACAGTGGGCGGCAGCCGGGCAGTGTCGCAGACATCTGCCTGGAGTGCAGGTTTGGACACATTTTTATGCACACGAAAGTTGCAACCGGGCTGGGTGTGATGGCGCAAGCCTGAAATTCCAGCATTTAAGAGGCTGAAGCGGGAGGATCGCAGGTTTGAACCCAGCCTTGGTGATTCAGTAACTTAGCAAGACCCTGGCTCAAAAAAAAGGGCGGGGTGACTCCTAGGGTTCAGGGAACTGTGGTGATGCTTATCACTGCTTTGTTTACTCCATGTATTTGCTTTTCACATTTCTCTTAAGGGTTATTCTTTGTGTGTGTGTTTGTGTAACTAAGAATTGAACCCAGGGCCTTGTGAGTGCTAGTGCCCTACCTCTGAGCTACGTCCCTAGGCCTGCTGGAACACTGATAGCTCAAAAATCTTGCTTGTTTCTTTCCAGTGGACCATGTCCCCTCGAGGGGCCTTAATCATAGAACATTCCAAATCAGGTCTCAGCCCACGGAGGGAGGGTCCCTCAAGAAAGCTCTCCTCTGAATCATTAGTGTAGGCCGAGGCACTCAGGTGCACCCTGTGTCTCCTTCAGGACTAGGTAGAGGGGGCCGAGGGTCAGGATGAGAGCAAGGCAGAGGCTCACATCGCTTGCGGGGTCACAGAGGCAGCCCACCCTGGAGTCTCAGCTTACCTAACTAACCACCAAGGCATGCCGTTTGGGCTTTCTCCCCTTGTGTCCTCCCTGTCCGCTGCCACCGGTCCTCCCAACAGGGACACAGAACAGCACCCTGTCCCTCCATGTCGCGTTGTAGATGTGTGTGTGTGTGTGTGTGTGTGTGTGTGTGTATCCCACAGAACAATGCTATGTTATCCACAAAACCTAGAAGACAGGTGCTCTTTCCTCTTTCCTTTTGTGTTCATCAACTGGAAGATGGCAGCTCCTGTCACAAGGCTGGCGATTTCTTTAATTGACAAAGGGTATGACCAGGAAATTCACAGAAAAATTTCAACTGTGTAGGGTGACCTGTTCCTGTAATCCCTGGGAGGCCAGGCCGTGGTACACAGCGAGACCCTGTCTCAAAAAAAGAAGGAAGGAAAGAGGAAAGATCTAATCAGAAGAGAAATAAAGGAAAAAGGAAAGCAGAGGAGAAAGGAAAAAAAAGAGCTGGGGGGAAAAATGTGCTCAAATTCAATAGTAATCCAAAAGAGTAAATTAAATGAGTTTTGTTCTCTGGCTTTTTAGTTTTTCCCCAGCAAACTGTCAATATTTAAAAGATCACTTGGCTGGCCAGAGTGCTGGCCCCTACTATAACCCTAGAACTCTGCAAGGCTGAGGCAGGAGGATTATAAATTCAAGCCCAGCCTAGGCACTTTAATGACTTTGCAATACCTTGTTTCAAAATTTTAAAAATTATCAAAATAAAAACATTTTTAAAAGATCTGGGGATATAGCTCAGTGTGAAGGCCCTGAGTTCAATATCAATACTAAAAAAGAAAAGAAAGGGAGACTGTCTAGTGTTGTAGTAGTTACAGTGCATTTCTTTTCTTTTTTTTTTTTTTTTTTTGGTACGGGGACTGAACTCAGGTCCTTGAGCTTGCGAGGCAGGCAGAGGAACCACTGAACTAAATCCCCAGCCCTGCAGTGAACTTCTGAATGGTTTATATTTCCAGTATGATTCTCTTTAATACAAATGTTCAGAGGTTTGGCGCAGGGCTGGGCCTGGTGGTGCACGCCTCCAACCCTAGCACTCAAGAGTCTGAGGCAGGTGGATCGCTGCAAGTTTGAGGCCAGCCTGAACTACATAGCGAGACCTTGTCCCAAAAACGGAGTGTGGGGTTTCTGCTTTGTTTGTTTTGAGCCATAGTTTTGCTGTGTTACTTAGGTTAGTCTCAAACTTATGAGATCAAGCAATCCTCCTGCCTCAGCCTCTTGAGCAGCTGGGACTGTAGGTGTGCACCTCAGAGCCTGATGGCTGCAGCCTAGCTTTGGACTTAATCATTCCCTTGCTTTTCTTTATGGTTTTAGCACCTCTTTATGGGGCCATAAATGCCAGAGCTTAAATTTTTCTGGGTAGAACTTTAATCGACAATGGAATCAGCGTTTTCTTCCAACTTGCTTTTTGTTTCATTTTGGTTTGGTTTGGTTGAAGCAGGTCTCACTACGTAGCCCAGGCTGGCCTGGAACTAGCAATGATCTTCTTGCCTCAGCCTCCTAAGTGCCAGGATCGCAGGCATGTGCCACACCACACACAGTGAAGCTAGATTTTTTTTGTACATGAACGATGAACTGCGTGAAGCAACTTCTCAGCCATCTACTGGCATAATAATGACTTTTGTTTTAATGTTAATATTAAGAATTATAAGGCTGGGGGTGTAGCTCAGCAGCACAGTGCTGCCTCACAACTGTGAGGCCCTGAGTTCAATTCCTGTACCAAAAAAAAAAAAAAAAAAGAAGAAGAATGGTATTGTTTGAAGAAATAGAATATGGCTTGAATGTTTATTGTTAAACCATCCACTGTTCTGGTTAATGTAACATCAATTACTATAACTAAACAATTTATCAGTTGATGATACTATCTTTTTATGCATGGTGTTAAATTCTATCCATTACTATTTTATAATTTTGCACCTATGTTCCTAAGCTAGACTGACCTGTAGCTGCCCTTTCTTACCCTGCCCCTGGGGTTAGGCTTGAGGCAAAGAGGTAGGAGGTAGAGAGAGACAAGGAGCCAAGTCAGGAAGCCAAGGGCAAAGAATGGAGAGCCTGACAAAGCAAAGATGGCTGTCAAAATATCAGGAATCTGAGAGCCAGCAGTCACCCTGTCCCCCGAGACCCCAGGGCATGTGCAACGCACAAGATACACCATCCTGGCCTTCGGTCAACCAACCTCACCTGCTTTGCAGCTTTTTGGGTTTTTTGTGTTTATTTTTGGGTTTTTTTGTTTTGTTTTGGTTTTTGTTTGGTACTGGGGATGGAACTTGGATCCTTGCACTTGTGAGGCAGGTGGCGGAACCACTGAGCCAAATCCCTGGCCTTATTTTTGGTTTTTGAGATAGGGTCTCACCATGTAGTACGGGCTGGTCTCAAACTTGTCGCTGCAGCCTTCTGAGTGCTGGGATTACAGGCATGCACGACCATGCCCAGCTACTCCAAGCATTTTATGGTTTGGTTTTGTTTCTTTTTTTAAATACCAGGGATTGAACTCAGGACCTTGTACTTGCCAGGCAGGCACAGAGCCACTTGAGCTACATCCCAGCCCCTACACGTATTTTAATGGCTACTGTACCTGTAATTATTTAATCTTTTTATTTCTGGAATTAAGTATTTGTGCCTTTTGTTTTTCTTGTTCGTTTTTGCCAGAGTGGGTGAACTGCATCACTTTTTGAAGCACCCCTGTCTCGACTTAGTGACAAGATGAATCTGGACCATGAATCCACGAGAGGCCAATTCACGTTTCTGAGGCTTCTCCCACTGCTCTGCTTCTCACTTCTCACGCTCCCTGGGGCTGATGGGTGTAAGGCCTCCTACCCATCCACACCTCTGGGCAGCCCCTCTGCTAGGTGTCTGTCCAAACTGAAGTTATCAAAAGCTAAACTCAGTTTCACCCAATCTCCAAACGTCCGGGGGACAAAAGCAGCCTCAGGGTTCCACTCACCTCTCTGGGTTCTTGTTCTCCTTTGGCCTTTGACCCAATAAAATCCTCTACCTCTTAGTAGCTAGATGATGACTTGAAGGAGCTTTAGAAAGCATTTTAAACCAGGTGTGGTGGCACACTCCTGTAATCCCAGCACTCGGGAGGCTGAGGCAGGAGGATCGCTGTGAGTTCAAGACCAGCCTGGGCTACAGAGTGAGTTCAAGGTCAGTCTCAACTACATAGTGAGATCCTGTCTCAAAAAATTAAAAAAAATTTTTTTTAAATAAAAAGCATTTTAGCCAACCAAGCATGGTGGTGCACACCTGTAATCCTGGCACTCTGAGAGTCCGAGGCAGGAGGACTTCAGGTTTGAGCCCAGCCTGGGCAATTTAGTGACTTGGGGAGACTCAACTTAAAAATTTTAAAAACCTGGCCTGCGCAGTGCAGTGCCACATGTGTTCACACTAGAAACGCTTGCCCGGTGCGGAAATGGCCGAGATGGAGACCTAGGCTGAGGCGGCCGTGGAGGGGTTCACACAGGTCACCCGCAAGGGTGCCCGGCGGGCGAAGAAACGACAGTCTGAGCACTTGTCCGAGGCGGAGGAGGGTGGAGACGTGGGCCACATGGACACGGAGGAGGCAGAGGCCCGTCTTCCCGCCCCTCTCCGGGGATGGACTCCTGAGTGGGAAAGAAGAAACACGGAAAATTCCAGTTCCAGCTAACAGATATACGCCATTAAAAGAGAACTGGATGAAGATATTTACTCCTATTGTAGAACATTTGGGACTCCAGATACGCTTTAACTTGAAATCAAGAAATGTGGAAATCAGGACTTGTAAAGAAACCAAGGATGTTAGTGCTCTGACAAAAGCAGCTGATTTTGTAAAGGCCTTTATTCTTGGATTTCAGGTGGAGGATGCACTTGCCCTCGTCAGGTTGGATGACCTCTTTCTAGAGTCTTTTGAAATTACAGATGTTAAGCCTCTAAAGGGAGACCACCTGTCAAGGGCAATAGGAAGAATTGCTGGCAAAGGAGGAAAAACCAAATTCACCATAGAGAACGTGACACGGACACGGATAGTTTTGGCTGATGTGAAAGTCCACATCCTCGGCTCTTTCCAAAACATCAAGATGGCAAGGACTGCTATTTGCCACCTCATCCTGGGAAATCCTCCATCAAAGGTTTATGGCAATATTCGAGCTGTGGCTAGCAGATCGGCAGATCGGTTCTGATTTCAAATTAGAGACTTATCTTTGGACTCTAAAGAAAAAGACCTTGTACTCTTCGGGTGGTCACACCAAACCATATGAAGAATGTCTAAGTCACTTTAAACCTGGATCTTTTCTTCCATTCTCAGCCACCAGCATAAACAGAAGGGAAAGGTTTAATAGTATTCACACTCAGTAATATTAAGGAAAATTTAAGTATCAAAATGTAATGTAGAATCCTCTAAAGGAAACTTACTGCATCGACAACTCTATATAAACTAGGTTTATTTATAATTTATAAACATTTCTTCTCTAAGCTGTAATTGAATCATGTCAAAACCTATGAATCATGACCCTTCATTAATGTGTTGTGTGGATATTTTATAATTAAATCATAATCTGCTTTTTGGCTCTACTGTAAAAAAAAAAATTTTTTTTTAAACCCAAAATAGGTTTTGGGATGAAGCTCAATGTAGAGACCCTGGGCTCAATTCCCAGTATGGACAAAAAAATTTATTCAGCATTTGAATTGCTTTCAGCAGGAACCTTAATATAAATATTTAATTAGTTTTGTTACTGGACACCCAAATCTAGTAGTTTTTTTTTTTTAGTAGTTTTGTTTTTAAGCAATATGGAATGTCATCTTGGGTCTATCGCCCTGTTTTCTGCCTTGAATCCTATTTCGTTTGATATTAGTGCTACTACTTCTGCCTTCTTATTGCTGGTTGTATGGTTCATTTTTTCCATCCTTTTACTTTCAATTCTATGCTGTTTTCTTATTCTCTTCCCCTCCCCATTTTTTTTTCTTTTTCTCATGTTAGGGCCTGAACCTAGGGGTGTTTCACCAGTTATATCCCAGCCCTTTATATTTTTTATTTACAGACAGAGTCTGTGTAAATTGCTCAGCCTGGCCTCAAACCTGTGATCCCCTCACCTTAGCCTCCCACGTAGCTGGGAGGATGGGCACACGCCATGCTGTGGCTTGTGTTTCGATGTCCCCCAAAGCCAGGTGCTTTTTTGGAGGTGGCTGAATCTAGACTATGTGACTGACTCACGGTGGGGCTAGGCCAGAGGGCAGTGGATTAAGGATATAAGTCCACCCACCCCAAGCAGTCTGAGTGAGATGCAAGGGGCAGAAAGACGCTGTTAAGGTCTCCTGTCGCTTTTGTTGCTTCTGCTGCTGTGAACTGTGGCCCCTCTGCCACCCTGCCTCGAGCTGACCAATTATGGACTGAAACCTGTACAGGTAGTTTCTTGCACAAGAATAGATTTGTAGAAAGAGAGAGAGAACCTTCAGGCATGGACGTGGGCAGACCCCAAAACAGTGGCTGCTCTGAATGAGATCCTACATTTATAGGAGTAACTGGGCTTTTCCTTCCTGCAGGTCATTATTCCCGGACAAGTATATGGGTTGTGTTGAGCTACTTCAGAGGAAATAGGTCCCTCTTTCCTCTTAGGTGGATGCCTCAAGTTTGTTTTGCAAACTCAAGCTTTGTCTGACCCCTCACCGGTGTGGTCTGGACTGTGCATGGGTCCAAGGGCCTTAGTATGCTCCAGGATGTTACGCTCTCTTGAGTGAGAGTTAGATACCACAAGCTTGTGCGGGTTTATCTAGAGCTAATGATTAAGAAATCAAAGGGGAGAAAAAAACTCATCCTATCTTCCTTGTTTTTCAAGTAGTCCCAGCCACCTGTCTCCAAGCCTGCAGATGACTGAGTTTCTGTAAAACAAGTAACACACTGTATTTCCATTATTCTACAGTTGTGTCTGTCTGTCTGTCTGTTTTTTGAGGCAGGATGCTGCTTTGTAGCCCAGGCTGGCCTCGAATTTGAAACGATCCTCCTGCCTCAGCCTCCCCAGTACTAAGATCACAGATGTGCACCACCACACCCAGCTAGTTATCTTTTAAATATTTAACTCACACCCTAAATTTTATGTTACTCTAGCTATCTAGCCTATATCTTGTTGCCCCCAAAAGAGCATCTTAATTCAATTTACTTTTTTCTTTTTTTAGCGGTAGTGAAGATCAAACTGAGGGCTTTCATACTGAGTTACCATCCCCAGCCCCTTTTTTATTTTGTTTATTTATTTTGGTTTTTTTTGAGACAGGGTCTCACTATGCAGTTAAGGCTGGCCTTGAACTCACTATGTAGCATAAGCTGGCCTCAAACTCGAAGCAATCCTCCTGCCTCAGCCTCCCACTGCTGGGATAATGGCATGTGCCACCACGCCCTTTCTAAATTTTGTGATAGGGTCTCATTAAGTTACTAAGCTGCCTAGACTGTACTCAATTTTTTATCCTCCTGCCTCAGCCTACCAGTGTGCTAGGGCTACAGGTGTGCACTTCCTCCCCACCCTCTAATGTTATAGGATTTTGGATTTCAATTCTCTTATGCTGAGTTAACAATAAGTGTTATTGATTACTGTGTTCACCCTTCCCTCTAACTATTATCTCTGATAAATTCATGCTTCCTCCCTGGGAACTCTCTTCCCTAGTAATTCTTCCAAAGCACATCTGGAGTTGGGAAACCCTGAGTCCCTGCATATCTGAAAATGTCTTTATTTCATGCCCACATTTGGATATTTTGATTAAGTATACGATTCTAAGCTGATGATTTTCACTCCGACAGTCAACCATAACGGCTTACTGCTTGGGAGCCAGAGCCCTGCAGTGGCTGAGCGACCCACCAGAAGGGTTGGAAGATTCTCCTCTGCTGGAGGCAGAATCAAGACTCGCCCTCTGCGCTGATGCAGGATGAGCTGCGTTCTGCTCTCTGAGCACAGGGGACACCTGCGCTGGGAGCCTTGGGCTGGAGTTCAATGGGCTTTGTTTGCTATGGGAAGAGAACAGCCAGAAGTGGCTTCACAGACGTGGCCACTTTAGAAAGTCCATGGGGACACAGAATTGTTGGGCCATGGGTAGTGGGAAATGGGAAAGGTCCAGATCGAACCTAGACACTGAACATTACGGTGGGGGGAGTGTTGTTTCTTTCTGTGGGGCTGGGGTTTGAACCCAGGGCCATTATTCTGAGGTACATCCCCAGCACTTTTAAAAAATTGTTTGTATTTTATTACAGGGTCTTACTAAATTGCTAAGTTGCCCAGTCTAGGCTTGAATTTGAGATTCTCCTGCCTTGGCCTCTCAAAATGCCACCATGCCCAGCGCCATGATATTTTTCCTTTTTTGCGGGAGTGAGACAGGTTCTTGCTGTGTAGTTCAGGCTGGGCTTGAACTCACTATATATCCTAGGCTGACCTAAAACTCAATGCAGTCCTCCTGCCTCAGCCTCCGGGGTGCTGGCGTTATAGGTATGTGCCACCACAAGCAAAGCATGATGTTTTTCAAACTGTGGATTGCAACACATAACAGTAGGTCATGCATAAAACCAATTTTATTGCCTATTTCCTAACCCTTTACACACCTGTAATTCTAGCATTCTGGGAGGCTGAGGCAAGAAGATCACAAGTTCAAGCCCACCTGGACAACTTAGAGAGACCCTGTCTCAAAATAAATACTAAAAAAGGACTCAGGATGTAGTGCAGAGTGAAGGCCTTTGATTCAATCCCCAGTACCACAAAGGAAAAAAATCCTATTGCATAACCACAAAAGATCTGTCAAAATAAAGAAAAATCATGTTACTTCCATCTAATCCTCAGATCCCAATTAAATTCACCTATGGCCCCAGTAATGTCCTTTACAACAACAGGTCAGAATTCACACTTATATATTGCATTAATAGTCAAGTCTTTACAGTCTCTTTTGGTCTAAAATACTATCTCAACCTTCTATTGATTTCACTTTCATGACCTTCACACTTCAAGATTACCAGCCAGTTATCCTATAGAATGTCTCTCCATTGGGTTTATCTGATGTCTTCTTTTTTGTTTGTCTTTGAGGATTTTGTTTTTTTTGTTTTTGTTTTTTGCTTTTTGAGACAGGGTCTCACTGTGCAGTTCAGGCTGGCCTTGAATCCACTATGTAGCCCACATTGGTCTCGAACTTGCAGAGATCCTCCTGCCTCAGCCTCCCAAGTGCTGGGATCACAGGCGTGCGCCACTATGCTCAGCCTGACATCTTCTCATGATCAGACTCAGGTTATGCATCTCTGACAGGAATAGCACAGACATGATTCTGTTTTCTTTCCATCACATCTTCTTGGCTGTCACATGGCTTAAATGTGTTCCTCTCCTACTGGTGCTCATTTTGATCGCTTAACTAAGATGGTATCTTCTGGGCTTCTTCACAACACAGCTCTTTCTTTTCTTCTTTGTTTGTTTGTTTTTGAGACAAGGTCTCACTATGTAGTTGAGACCGACCTGCAACGCACTATGTAGCTCAGGATAGTCTCGAACTCACAGCAATCCTCCTGCCTCAGCCTCCCGAGTGCTGGGATGCTCTTTCTTTTCTTTATAATTAATAAGTATTTTGTGTCAGGGAAGTTATTTGAAACTATGCAAATATATCATGCTTATCTAACTTCTCATTTACTTGCTTACTTTTATCAGTATCAACCTTTGATTTTCATTTTTATTCAGTGGGTCATAAACCTGTACTATAACTTGATGCCCAAACTGCCGCAGAATTTGTCCAGCTGGCTTCTAGTATGTCCTTTAGAGATGATCTTATCACCCTCTGAGTACTTTACTTCCTTGCACAATACACTCCAAGCACGTCTTGTGCTTTCACCCCTGCCCTAGAATCCTTTATTTCTCTCAAGTAACCATGGCTTTTTCTTTTTCTTTTCTTTCTTTCTTTCTTTTTTTTTTTTTTTTTTTTTTTTTTTTTTTTTTTTTTTTTTTTTTTTTTTTTTTTTTTTTTTTTTTTTTTTTTTTTTTTTTTTTTTTTTTTTTTTTTTTTTTTTTTTTTTTTTTTAGCAGTAGTAGGGGTTGCACTCAAGGGTTTTGCACTGAGCTACATCCTCAGCATCCTCAGCCTTTTTAGTTTTAAAAACAGGGTCTGGCGAAGTCATTAAATTACCCAGGCAGGCATGGAACTTGCAGTCCTCCCGCCAGCCTCCCAGAGTGCTGCGATCAGGCACGCGCCACCACAGCCAGCTTAGCCATGGCTGTTTCAGCAGACAGAGGTGTTTACAAACCAAGCTCTAGGCACAAAGTCCTTGCTGTCACTGTGGTCCTAGGGCTCTCAGGGCCTCAGGC